GTTGCAAACCGGTTCCCTGCAGGCCAGTTTCCAGCAGCGGATGCACGAAAGGCAACCATACATTGATGTTTCTCTCCCTCTCTCCTTCCCCTCTAAAATAAATAAACAAAATCTAAAAATAAACAAATAAATAAAAATATAATTCCAATTTTGAAACTTTTGAGTAAAATGAATGTTACTTGCCAGGATATTCCCAGATCCTCAGGCCCTTGGGGTTTATCCTTTCGACAATTACGTATCAGAATGCTATTGTACGTTCAAACTATTCTTGTTTTGGTTTCAGCAAAAACTCCTAGACATTTCTGTGGGACTGCCATCCTGACTCGTGAAGGAGAGTATTCAGGAATAGTTCTCCTCAGTCTGAAGAGATTAAAAAGGCCTAGAATCAGAAGTTAGAAGAGGATGGGGGGGAAGTTTCTTGGTGTGTGCGGAGTCACGCACTCACTCACTCGTGAGCAAAATGGAAGAAAGGGAGTGCTTACCCTCCATTCATGCTTAGAAAAGGGAGTAGAGGAGACATACAGAGAGTTTAATATACTTGCATGCACCTTATATTTTGGAGAACACAGTAGATTTCTGTTTGCCTCACACTTGAGACATCTAAAGCACAAGAACCTGGCTGGCTGGGTGGCTGGTTTGTTCCTCTGATAGCAGAGTGGCAGAGTTGGTGGCATTGGCCAACTCACACTCCTAGAATCTTTTAGGACAAAAGATGCTCAAAAGTGTGGGCCAGCGTGACTGACCCAACTGAACAAGAGTAAACTGTGATGCTCTACAGCAGGTGGAATTGCAGGATTTCTCAAGGCTGAAGACAGAGCCAGCAGCAGCCAGAGAGGAATTTCCTTGCTTGAAGAGAAGTGTAGATCAGAAGTATAAACTATTGCACAGCCATAGTTTACTGCCTGTGAAAAGCCTAGGAAGGTTCCCACAAAAACTAAGGGTCAGCTTCAGAACTCCATCCAGTTCAAGGAACACCTACAAAGAAAAGTAGGACTTTCCTGCCCCTTTCTGCCTCCTTACCCAGCCCGACCACAACTCTGGCAAGGATGGGAACTGAGATTGACAAGGTGGGGGTGGGGCTATTAAAGAGCGTGAGCCAGTCAGAAAAGAGAAAAGAAGCCAGAAACCAACATGGCATTCTTGGTGAAGACTTAACATTTTGTTTATTATTCTGGACTGGACATATTAACTACTATACTGTTTTTTATCATCAGAAATGGTTAGAGAAGTAATAAGGGTTCTTCCAAATTTCACCCAGAGGCAGAAGTTATTTAGCCTCAAAAAATAAAGCGTCCACCAGGATACAAGTATAGTTGCTTTTATGTTGCATCCTGTAAGTCATGCTTTTTTGACGTAGCTGTTATATAGAAATAAAAGTATCTTCATCCCGTGCTTAGGAAAATCCAGCATTCACCTGTCTCCCCCAGCACAGCGTCTCCAAGGATTCTCAGCGTACACACGACACAGTCCCGCCTGTCTTATCCTTTGCAGCTGCTCTTTTCTCTCTGGACTACACTGACCTAAGCATTTCACCACTTCCCTTGATATTTGAAAAGTGTCTCCCACAAAGGCAGTTATGCTGACAATGTGAGGTTCTAGGTAGGGAGTATTTTTTGCGTAATACTTGAACAAAGACGTGGGTGAGGATTGGAGGTGGGGGTGGATAGGGCAGGAGAGAGTAATGCAGGGGAAATGGGGACAACTGTAAGTGAACAATAAATTATTTTTAAATGGGGAAGAGACTAACAAGTAAAGTTAATAATTATAAAATAGTCACAGGGATGTAAAGTACAGCATAGGGAATACAGTCAATAATATTGTAATAGCTATGTATAGTGTCGGATGGGTACCAGACTTGACGTGGTGATCACTTTAAAAGCTCTATAAATGGCTTAGCATTATGTTGTCCACCTGAAACTAATAACATATTGTATGGCAACTATAACTGAAAAAATTACAAATATTTTTTTATTAAAAACACTAAATTACATATTAGACATAATGGATTCTAGAAGTTCTTTGGCTGTATCCATGTTGTGGAATTTCATCCTGGTCAGTTTCCAACTGCCAGGTTGCCCATCCTCTGTGTTACTGACCTTTACACTCTCAGGAAATCCTTTCTATATGTTTCCCAATTCTTTCCATTTTTAACTCTGGAGCTTGGGGACAGGCTACAAAACATCTTGTCTTAGTTTCCTTATATATTAAATTGGGATAGTATTAGTAGTTACCACATACTGGAAAGATTACATGGGTTGACACATAAAAAGCAATTAAAATATAATCCAGTAGAGAGTTAATATTAAAATACTCAAAAATAATAAGGTACTTAAGAATTTAAAGATAATAAAGGAATCACTAATGTTTGGTTATTCTGCTCCCTGTTCTTGTGTCCTAGAGGATAAAGTAGTTTCCTTCTCCAGTAAAGAGAACTTCTCAGAGTACTTTTTTTTTTTTTTTAAGATTTAGTTTATTTACTTTTAGAGAGGGTGAGGGAGGGAGAGAAGGAAACATAAATGTGTGGCTGTCTCTTGTGTGCCCCCTATTGGGGACCTGGCCTGCAACCTAGGCATGTGTCTTGACCAGGAAATGCACTGGTGACCTTTTGGTTCACAGGCCAGCACTCAGTGCACTGAGCCACACCAACCAGGTCTCAAAGTACTTTCTAAGTGAAGCAGTCCTCACCCCAATAGAATGTGTCATCATCTTGAAAATAATAATTTTTATCTCCAGAACATTGAGGTAATAATATAAAATAAAAGATTAGTAAGAGATAGACTAAAATAAATCCATAGATTCTGTATTTATTTACTACAAACAACATTTATATAGCAATGCCATATTAAAGTTGTTAAACATATAAGGTTCATCATTGTAGCAAATATTATTAATCTCCCTTGAGGTCCAACTGTTTCATCCACAAGGTCTGCATTGTCTGTCTTCTGTTCCCTCCCTGAGGGCATTCTGCTGATGCTGGGGAAAAATGGATTACCGGCTGGCTGCTTTAATACCTCAACCAATGCACTCTCTGACCTCAGTTAAGACTTCTGTGCCACACATTTTAAAGTTATTCTTTATCTTATTAAATTTGCTTTAATATTTAAAAAAGAATACTCTTATCACCTCAGTGACCACCCATTTGAACTATCCAGTGAGAAGTGGCAATAAAGCACAGTCATAATGACTTGCCTCTTTGAAGGTCTTTTGATATCTTTTTGTCATCTCAGTTACTGTTTGCCTGCAATTACACCTTTTTATTTGACTTGATGAATATATTTAATGGAATGTGCAATATTTATAAAGTCAACTTCCTTCTCTGTATAATCAATTTTAACATGTTTTATATCAAGCAGAGGCTTCAACTTAGTTTATGATAGTAAGTTATATTATTTACTCTTCCCTATATATAAAAGATATAAAAAGAAAATGATCTAAAGTCAAGTCTCAGGAGTAAATGACACATATCTTAATTTTTATGTCATATTTACAAGAATAATCACATTCCCCTAAGATCATAAAAATGTCTACTTAACAAAAGACTAAAAATTGCAATTGACAATGAGATCTCCAAATGCCTTAATCTTCTGCAAACTGGGATCTGGTTATCTGCCGGCAGAGACCCACAGAAGTTTTTCTCACCAATTCAAAGTCCATGAAACCACTTCAAAGAAGAGAATATAGGAGCTCAATTGTATAATTCCACTACCGAATTCATGTCCATTCAGAGGCACATAGAACCTTCTGCCTAACCAATTTTCAAGGTGTTCAGAAAGGAGTTAACAAGCAGGCCCGAGCATGCTATCTTCAGAAAGGCTTGCCTGCAAGGTTCGCCTTTGATTAGAGACTGGAAACTAAATTATAAACAGTCCCCTATACTAATATAAAGTATCTTTAAATGATAAGTGGTTCACTAAGACTAAGTTGTTTGTATAAATAACATATTTCATCATGCACACCTGCTGCCATCTGAGAGTCTGGAATTTTGATTCATGCTGAGAAGAAGGTGCCCACATGACCACTTTTTAAAGAACCTGGGGCCTTGAGTCTCCAATTCTCTGGTAGAGAGTACTTCACATACGCTATCACTGTCATGGCTGGAGGAATTCTTCATGTCGTGTATGATTTCACTGAGAGAGCACTCTTGGAAGCTTGTGCCTGGTTTCCTGCAGATTTTACCCATGTGCCATTTTATGTACTAATTTTACTTTGTAACCTTTCACTATCGTAAGTATTGAGCTTTGAATGTGCTGACTCCTTCTAGTAAATCACCAAACCTCAGAGTGTTGAAGACCCCTGATACACAGGGTGGATTGAAATGTCTACATTGAGATACACAGATTCTAAATAAAACATTTATTGAATACAAATTATGGGATGGAATTATGTTCAGTGAAACCAAGATAAGTAGCCTAGACCTATTTTAAGAAATTTGAAGTATGGCGTCTATGTTTGCACACAAAAGTTTATAAAAAGAATATTCAATTAACTGAGTCAAAGCAGAATATGGACAAACACAGGAAGGTTATTTAAATGGGAGTTATGAAAATGTAGACACTTTGTCTTGTTCAAATTATCAGAGAAAGCTAGAGACATGTAAGTGAGGCTCAAAAGAATAAGTAGATTTGGACATATTATGGGACCTGGAGGCAGGAGGAAGGGGAGTTTTGGAAGGTTTCTCCTCCAAAGTTTCCCTTGAAACTTTGCAGATGGATGGAAGATATGATAAAGAAATGAAATATAGAGTACATCCAGGGAATACAATAGAATAACAAGTGTTACTTACAGTACAAAGTGCAATTTTTGGATGATCTTGGTTAAAATTTGAATGCATCCAATGTTCTATTTGAGCTCAATTTTATGTAAACCTATGGATTATTATACAAGGTCCATCAAAAGTCTATAGCATTGTAAAAAGGTCTCTCTCAAACTCGAGCATAGAATTTATGTTCTACTGGTTTCTAATTATATTTTTCCTTTTCTGCCTTTTCTTCAGGTCCATCATGAGTGAGAAATGGGACTCAAACTCTTCAGAAAACTGGCATCATACTTTGAGTGTCAATGATACCAGGCATTATCTGTACTCAGATACCAATATTACCTATGTGAACTACTACCTCCACCGTGCTCAAGTGGCAGCGATCTTCATTATTTTCTACTTTCTGATCTTCTTCCTGTGCATGGTGGGAAATACAGTGGTCTGCTTTATTGTAATGAGGAACAAACATATGCACACAGTCACCAATCTCTTCATCTTGAACCTGGCAATAAGTGATTTATTAGTCGGGATATTCTGTATGCCTATTACCCTTCTGGACAATATTATAGCAGGTATGTTGAGTTGTGTGCAGTGCAAGATGATATGAGAAAATGTGTGTCCCCTCTCCCTGCAGCCATGGCTGGGTCATCCGTTCATCACAGTTATGTAACTTACAAGATGATACTCCAGTAAATCTAATATCCACCCTACATCATGCATAGTCATATTATTGGCTTAAATAATAGAATTTGCTTAAAACAGTTCAGGGCACATATAATATGGCAGAAATATTATTAAGAATACTATGAGATATAAAGTTCAAGAAATAGGTAAGTGTGATTTTAACTGATTCGTTGTCTTCGATCAAATATAAATAGATATTTAGACCCTCTTATGGTTAGCTAGGGAAATTTCCGACAGTTTTTTTAAAAGATTTTATTTATCCATTTTTAGAGAGAGGGGAAGGGAAAGAGAAAGAGAGGGAGAGAAACATCAATGTGTGGTTGCCTCTCACATGCCCCTTACTGGGGACCTGGCCTACAACCCAGTCGTGTGCCCTAGACTGGGAATCGAACCGGAGACCCTTTGGTTTGCAGGCTTGTACTCAATCCACTGAGCTATGCCAGCCAGGGCAGATTTCCAGCAGTTTTTGATGAAAGATGAAGCAGAATTCCCAAAGATTTCTCAAAAAAGTAGAAGTTTCATCAGTGGTAAATTCCATGTCAACATGAGTAATGACTAAGTACTACCCTAGGGTGTTTCCTGGCCTGTGTTACTTCTTCCATGACACTACATGATAACCTCTGAAAGTGCAGGAATATGTATCTCCAACGCCCAGCTCAGTTGGGGTACATAGTGCCTGCTTAACAAATACTTTTGTATTAATTAATGAACAGTACTCAGGATATTCATATTCCCATCTGTAAGGAAAAAAATGAAGTGATAGCAACACACCAAAATTGTAAAGCAGCACAAGCCATCTCAGTCATCTTTTTATAACATTGGACATGAGGTCACTAAAGAATACCAGGTTCTGCTATAGAATTTACCTGTTTCCTTCTTTTCTTTGGAGTGGGAGCTCAGAATGCCTCTTCTCTCACTATGCACTGCATAGACCATGTGTCTTTGTGGTGTTTATCAGTAAAAAACAATATGAAGGATGTATAGTTTCAAAACACTATGGTAGACAAAGAGTGAAAGAATTGATAAAAATTAGCATTATTGTTCTCAAGAAACCTATTTATGAAAAAGAAATGCTCTCAACATTCTCTCTCTAAACATTTATAATTAAATTATTTAAAAAATTTCCATATAGAAAGAAAGAAGAAGCTTCTACCCTTTGCGACAGCATGGATGGAACTGGAAAGCATTATGCTGAGTGAAATAAGGCATGCAGTGAAAGACAAATACCACATGATCTCACCTTTAACAGGAAGCTAAACAACAAAACAAACGAACAACGAAAATATAACCGAAGACACTGAAATAGAGAACAGGCTGACAGTGACCAGAGGGGAGAGGAGAGGGAATTTCAGGGGAAGTGGGGAAGGGTTTGAAGGAACTAGTTACTATAAAGGACAAAAGAACAATAACAAGGGGGGAGGAGTTGAAGACAGGAGGGAGGTAGGGAGGGTGGGGGGGGTGGGCTGGGATAGGGGTAAAGGGCAAAAAACTGTACAAGAGGTTTATAGAACAACAATTAAAATTTAAAAATTGTACAAATTCAAAAAAAATCTAAATTTAAAGTGAATGATATACAAAATAGTATATAAAATGTAATTGATATCCCGGTTTTAAAAATTCATATATATTACCCTTCCTTACCTTTAATTTGCATTCCCAGGAGGCAGCCACAGTCAGCAATTTTTCCCTTTATTTTTTGGTAATGACATGTTTTCATTATAATGTGTTATCTTCACACTGTAGAGCTGTAATTTCCTTTTCATAACCCTCTTCTACCAGAAGAGGTAGTTTTCCTCTGCAGACTCCACTGTAATGACAGCACAGGGACAAAAGAACATAAGCCCATGGAAACTGCACGACAGGTGCTATTGAATGTGAAGCCGGGAAAACAGTAAGACTGGCTGATACACGTGCACACTCTTTCCTCCTCTCATTCTCTTGAGTGTAATTAGTGTTTGGTTAAATCAGTGTTCAGTGTATACATTCCTATTATTATATGTGTCTTACCCCTGCTGAGCCAGATAGAGTGCTGTGATAGCAATTTCTCTACCAAAAGATTTTTTTTTTGTTTTCCTGGATTTGAAAAAGGCATCATATTTTGATTTGTTTCGTTGTAGACGTGTACCTGTCGGTAGCATGGTCTCAGCTTCTCTTCTAGGAGTGTTGATTTCTTGTCCATACTTTCAAACATCGGAGGTAACCTGTAAATCACATCTTCCTTCCTGGAGATACCCGCCAGGTGCTCTCGATGTTTTGTTTCTATCCAGGCATAGTGTCCTCCAGGCGGGGAGCTCACCTCTCAGGCCTCTGTTGTCAGGATGCCATTTCTTTTTTTCTTGGTTTATTTCCCTGTTATCTTCCAGAGAAATGGTCAATTGAGATTAAAATGATAGAAATCTTATAGATCTGCAAATATCTTTATTCTGCCCTCATATTTGACTACTTAGCTATATAATATATTCTGGGTTAGACATGTTTTCCCTCAAAATATTTGAAGAGATTGCTCTACTGTTATTTCTGAGAAACCTGATGTTACTGCTGAAAAATCCTATGCTATTTGACTTGATTTTTACTCATAATTTGTATTTGGTTTTTCTTCTTGGAAGTTCTTCAGGCTTTATCCCCAGTGCTCTGAATTTCAGGCAATTATGACTTGGAGTGTCTTTTTTAAATTTCATGTATTGTGGCGGACACAAACTAGGTCCTTCAATCAAAAAATAAATACCCTTCATTCCTGGGAAATTTTCTTGTAGAATTATTTCCTGTTTTTATTTAACCCCTACTAATCTGATATTTGAGATTTGAATTTCTCCCTCCCCTCTTTATTAATCTTTTTTCTTCCATTTCCTGCTACTTATGTTCTGCTTTCAAAGATACCCTTTACTCTTTCTTCCAGACTTTATGTTAAGTTCTTCATTTCTGTTATTGTATTATAAAGTCTTTGAGCTATTTTTATATTCTGTATGTTTCTTATATTCTCATGCATGTTTCATGGATGTTATATTTTTTAGGTTATTCATAATAATTTGTGTTTCCTTTTTATTTTTCATCTACCTGATTTATATTGGTTTTCTCTTGTATTTCTTGTTTCCAGTTTGTTTCAGACTTTTTAATTTAATGTTTACTTAATATCCACTGCTACTTAGCTGCTCGTGCATCGGAAAGAGGCACTGTGTGTCTGCCTTGGACTTCTGCATGTATGGGCATTCAGGTTAGGTCCACCCTCAGCTTCATTAGTCTGGGCTATTCATTGGGAAACCCAGAGATTCTTAGGAGGATCACTGTTCTTAGGAGGATCACTTTCCCCAGAATGCAATTCTCTGATCTACCGCCATAGGTATGTAAGGCTGGTGGACTGTTGCATTCTAGACCGAGTGTGCCAGCAGTATTACATGCCGAGTGTGTGCCTTCATTTAATTCTGCATCACTGGGACCCTCCTCCCCCTGTACCTAGAGACTTGAGAGTATAAAACCTCCATGCCTCCATCTCTTCTGCCCACCTGGGAGAAAGCCAGTGGCATCTGATGGCGGTTACACATAATTCAGCCAGTGGTGTTGTTTGCCCAACTTTACAATCAGTTGTGTCTTCCACCTCGGTCTCTGTGGATTTATGTTCTTTTTGTCCTAGTACTATCATTTCAGTGGAGTTTGGTGAGAGAAATGAGATAACGTTGCTTATTCTTCCATTTCCAACCAGTGGCTATACACATTCTCTTTTGCATTTTTTATTGAAAAATAATACTGTACAAACAAACCAGTTTCAGGACTGAGAAGACATGCTTTCTTTTGGTTTGTTCAGTAGAGTCACTCAAGCACCTATTGCAAAATGGGATGAATGGATGATAAGTGTTTGGTTTTTCGAAGATATGTTTGGATTATTTAGGTTACTGGAAATATGTTTAACTAGATATGTAGGGATTAGCTATATTTTAAAAATAAATCACAAAGTATTTTTGAGTTAAAAATTTTAAATATGAGAAATATGTATCATTCATCTTTTGGGAGACTAGAATATCTGTTAGTAGAAGAATAAGTTACTTTCTTAACAGCAGATGGGTGTTTAGAATATCAAACTGCTATAATGATTTTACTAATTTACTTGTGAACATTCTGGTAACTGAGGCTCACTTAAGGAGGAGTTCAAATAGCCTACTTTTGTTCATGCAAAGTGCTCTTCTAAAACTAGATCTTAGCCAGCTCAGGCTGCTGTAGCAAAGTGCGATAGAGTGGGGTTGAGGCTGAAACGGCAGGCGTTTATTTCCTCACTGATCTGGAGGTTTAACACTCAAAGTCAGGGCGCCAGCATGGTCAGGTTCTCGGTGAGAGTACTTTTCCTGGTCTGTGGACCACCCTGTTGCTGTTTGTTCACGTGGCCTTTCCTCAGTACGTGAGTGGAGAAAGATGTTTCTTGTCCTCTTCCCATAAATCCTGTTATGTGGGCAACACCCTCAAGGCCTCATCTAAACCTAATTACTTCCCCAAACCAAATCTCCAAATAGCATCACTTTGGGGGTTAAGGCTTCATTATATAAACTGGGTGTGTGGGGGGAAGTGGGCACAAACAGTTTTTGAATAACAAACGATTTTTGTGCTAATTTGTCTAATTCCATTATATATCAGTAAATATTAACTTAATCTGCATGTAGCATCTCAATTTATGGGGAACATTGCCAAGTTAGAATACTGATTTCCTCTTGTTTTATTCATTTAAAGAGTATTATTATTATATAAGAGGTGGTTGTCTGGACTCTGGAACCACACTGCTAGGGTTCAGATCCTAATACAATGCTAAGCAGCTGTGTGGGAGGCATGTGATGCTGGTGTGTTTGTTACCTAGTCTGTATCATGAAGTGACTAGTAAAGGCTTTGAGAGCCTATTGTAGGGGGTTAGATATATTAATAGATAGAAAGCACCATTACAGTGCTTGGAATGTTGGAACTGCTATACAAGTTTTGAGATTATTATTAGTGTACTAAACATAGAGCTTCGAAGATACTGATGAAAATAATGGGAATCATTGATTGTTCCATAGATATCAGGTAGAAAACTTTTATCAGTTTTTGTTTCATGCCTTTCTGTTTATTTTCAGTGAAACTTTTGAAGAGTGATTTTTTTCAAAAGCTAACTGTTCCTTTTCCCTTTCAGGGTGGCCATTTGGAAACGCAATGTGCAAAGTCAGTGGTTTGGTTCAGGGAATATCCGTTGCAGCTTCAGTGTTTACTTTGGTTGCAATAGCAGTGGATAGGTAAGTCGGCACCCAAACGTGAATCCAGGAAAATGGGTGTGTTTGCATCTAATCTACCTAGCCAGAGAAAAATGTACGGTCTACTTAGACTGGGTTGTGTATATACATGAGAGAGGACATGTGAGGCCTGTCCAGAAAGTATCCAGCCACATAGTGTGAAAAATAGAGACGTTTATTTAAGAAGATACAATATACAAGAAACATTGTACACAGGAGAGTGATGCCTCAGTCCCCTTCAAGGTAGGAACCTTGGGACCTCACACAGTTCTCCCAATCACTATCAGCTGCCCTATAGTATTTTCCTGAATCTTACTGACAGTCTGAAATCTCTTTTCTTTCAAAGGTCATTTTAGTTTTGGGAAAAGACAGAAGTTGCCGGGCACCAAATCTAGACTGTAGTGGGGCTGTGTCACCTGGGTGATTTGATGTTTCACCAAAATACTCTGCATGAGACATGATATGAATGGGTGTGTTGTTATGATGAACCTGCCAATCACCAGTTGCCTATAGCTGTGGCCTTCTAAATCATCCGAATAGTTTCTGTGAAGGAATGTTCAAGCTTAATGCAAAATTTGATGCAGGTTTATTGCTCTATTCACTCAATTATTTTGAATGTGATGGCCACACAGTAGACATGCTCACTCAGTGGCATCTATCATTTCCACTGACAGTGAAGTCGTTCATGCCCATTCCAGTCTACTCCCCTTGGCTGCCAGGTCACATCGATGTTGTGTAAACTGTTCTCATTAGAGTAACGATGGCTGGACATTTTCTGGATATATACATATACATATATATATGTGTGTGTGTATGTATACATTTTTCTCTCTGGATATATATATATATATATGTGAAAGAGAAAAATAAGATGTGGTATAATTGTTGACATCATAACACTTGGTAGATTCTATTTTTAATATTAACTTAATGTTTCCATAATTATTCATAATGTTTTAATCTATAAGAGCTTACCATATACACCTAGTTTATTTGTTTTGCAGGAAAGGAAAATAGAATTTAAACATATCCTAACCATTGTACATCAAAGATGTTTTTATATTGTTTCTAAGTTTATTATATGCTTACTATTATACTACATTATTTTTTGCATATTGCTTATTTGTTTATAATTATATGCATTTTATACTAGTAAGTAATAGTAGTACTATTACTAAGTAATTTTAATGTTAATGTTTATAATAGATTTTATACTTTAATTATATAATATATATCATCTTTACAGCGAATAAAAGCCTAAAATGTCCTTTTCATTTTCTCCTTGAATCTTGAGTTTATCACTTATATTCCACATTACATTTAGTATTAATCGTTTTTCACTATTTCTAGCATGCCTTCTGAACAGAGATTTAGAAATAAACATTGCTCTTCATTTCATTATAAAAAGTACATAAGGTTAGAATATTAAATAAATTGTACTATATTTATTTGATGAATAGCTATATGGTGGTTAAAATTAATGAGATAGGTCACCATATATCAAAATGCATAAATTTCAAGAGCATGCAGTCTCAACAAAGGTACATAATAATACATGCAACGTGGTGCCATTATATCCAATTTAAAATGTCACAGAAGCAGGCTAATACTATGCATGCACAAACAGTTTGGCAGTAGGGATGTATATCAACTTCAGAATTTTGGTGGAAAGAGGAATATGACTAGGATAAAATAAATCTACCAAGGGAATTTTAACTGTATCTGTAATGTTTTAGGTTTCTTAAAAAACATGAGCATTTGGTCACCTGCTGTGGTTTAATTCACAATGTCACTGCCTGTCATTCCATCTGTGCGTCACTTTGCAATAGTTTCAGTCATCTGTTGCTATATAATGAGTCACCTTCGGAAAAAAACCACTTAGTGGCGTAAAAGGGTAGCCATATTTATTATGTTTATGAATTTATGATGTGAGCGGATTTAGCAGGTATCGATGACTTCACTGGTGTTGAATTTCTGTTTTGTTAATTTTCGCCTCTCTGAATACATATACATGTATTATTGAGTGAACACATAAATAAAATATTTGAGGTTCTCATACTTGGTTTACAAAAAGTAAAAATATCTAGAATTGTGCCTGTGAAGTTATCCACAATTTAACAGTGAATAAAGGGGAAAATTCACTGATAAGAAGACGAGAAGAAAGCTTGGAGGTTAAGACAGAAGACCTCGTGCATGCAGTGGTTCTAAAGGACAGCAGAGCAGTCGAACTCAAGGGAACTAGTCCTTGTATGATGGTATGTCAGGTAAATTAATGTGGAGTTGTTGCTGGACCCACGTAAATGCTCTAAGTTTTCTTACCTGCAAGTCTGGAAAGTGATCATTTTCATAACATTTTAGTGTTATAGAGCCATCACAAAAAAGAAAGAAGATTAAATAGGTGGTAGTACTTCAAAAATATAAAATGTTAACAATTGCTTAATGGTATAATTAGAATTAACATGTGTATCAGGAATTGTAACATCAAGAATCACAATAACAAAATAGCAATAAAATGAATCAGACTAGCTCTACATACTGATGTTGAACTTTCATGCCCACCAGGGGACAGACCACTGGGAAAGTTCCTAATCGGAACTCACAGTGGAAACTCTTTTAGACTCTTATTGCTGTGAATCAAGTCACCAAATCACATAGCGGCTTAAAACAATAATTCTGTAGTATTTCTCCTGCTCTGTGCATTGTCTGAGTGCCCCTTGTGGTTCTCCCGCTCAGTGATTTGTAGCTGAAATCAGTCCTGCTGCAGCATCACCCCGGGTGCCAAACTGGGCCTGGCACCTCCTCGGGGGCCGGTCTCTCTTGCCCCAGGCTCTTTCTACACACAGCCTGTCACCTGAGCCTCTACAACCTGGTGGCTGGCTTTCAAGAGGAAGCATTCCAGGTACAAGCCCCAATATGCAAGTATATGAAGAGCCTCTGTTTGTGTCATGCTTGCTAATGTCTCATTGGTCAAGGCAAGTTACGTGGCCAACCACACAGATAACATGGGAGAGGACCACAGAAGGGCATCACGGAGAGTTTAAGAATATGAACCCTGGAGCTAAACGACCTGTATAAAAGTCGTATGTAATTATGGGCAATATTTTTACCTTTTCTAGGCCTATTTTCCCATCTTTTATGATGAAACTTCAAGAGAGAATTCATGCAAACCAATAGAACAGAAGGAAACAGAGTACTACACATTTATGTTCAATAACTAATAGTTACCCCTATTACTTTTATTAATAATAGTGTCTGATACACTCCACTTATTTGTATTTTGAATAGAAATTTATCTCATAACAATGTCAGAAAATGGCGATGCATACCTTTCTACCACTAATGGTAACTTTCCATGTTTTTGAGAAGAACTTAGGAATTACTTAAATTTATATCACAACTCAGTCAGAAGTTAGGAGGCACTGCCTCAACTGATATTTGCCTTTAATTGCAGGTTCCGGTGTGTTGTCTACCCTTTTAAACCAAAGCTCACTATCAAGACAGCGTTGGTCATTATTGTGATCATCTGGGTCCTGGCCATTGCCATCATGTCTCCATCTGCAGTAATGTTACATGTACAAAAAGAAGCATATTACCAAATAAAACTCCATTCCCTGAATAAAACCATGCCAGTCTACTGGTGCCGGGAAGACTGGCCACATAAGGAAATGAGAAAGATCTACACCACGGTGCTATTTGCTAACATCTACCTGGCTCCCCTGTTCCTCATTGTCATCATGTACGGAAGGATTGGAATTTCACTCTTCAAGGTGACAGTGCCTCAAACAGGCAAGCAGAACCGGGAGCAGTGGCACGTAGTGTCCAAGAAGAAGCAGAAGGTCATTAAGATGCTCCTGATTGTGGCCCTACTTTTTATTGTTTCCTGGCTGCCCTTGTGGACTCTGATGATGCTCTCAGACTACGCCGAACTGTCTGCAAATGAACTGCAGGTCATCAACATCTACATCTACCCATTTGCACACTGGCTGGCTTTTTTTAATAGCAGCATCAACCCCATCATTTATGGGTTTTTCAATGAGAATTTTCGCCGTGGTTTCGAAGATGCTTTTCATCTCCAGTTCTGCCAAAAAAGAGCACAGCCCCAGGAAGCCTATGCCCTCAGGGCTGAAAACAATGTGGTCATAAATACATCTCATCAGTTAGCTCATAAACATACAAATCAAAACCCACATGAGGAAAATTTGCTTTAGAAAAAGTGCTGAAAACCCCAAACAGGAATTGATGGAAGACTTAGGAGGAGCTACCCGCAGAAATGAGATTTAATAAAGAGCAAATGTGACTATTTCAACTCTACTGTGTTATATATTGAAATACTGTTGCTCTCTATGGCTTTGTACTTCAATTGTTTCTGAGAATGTTCCAGAGGAAATATGCATGGAAAGCCCTCTCTGAAAATAAGTAAACAAAATGGTTGTATGTTCATAACCAATCTTATGATACATAAAATATGTGAAGTGACTAATACGTGAGTTTTCCTGGATAAATCCACCTTCTAGGAACATATATCAAAGCCTGACCTTTTTCAACTTAACCCTTTCTGTATGAGACAAGCATGTGTATTAAGTCTATGGATGCATGCACACTGAGTCTCCAGTTGGTGATAAAGAGGTAGCTCTTTGCATGAGGTCGCATTTTTGTCAGTTCTTCCTTTGCTTTTGTATTAGAAATTACAGACTAAAAATCAATTATCTGCACTTTTAAAATATCTTTCTTAGAAATAAGAAGCACAGTAGCAAATAAAGGGACATTATATTTCTTCGTATTACAGGTTGATTTTGTTTGATTTGAAAGAGTAAAGTTGGTAAAATCATAAAATTGTTTCATAGGAGTTATTGTTGGTTTTTTAATATTTTTATAAATGAAGTTTATGCTCTAGCTGAGCCCATGTTTCTTATAGAGGTGATTCAGGACCCAATTTAATTCCCTTGTTAATAGAATCTCTGACATAAAAAAAACAAACCTTTCAATAATGGAGAAGTTGGCAGAAAAATGGCAGCTCTCTTTCGAAGTGCTTAAGCAGAAATGCTCAACAATCATCCTAAGACTCCCATAAAGTCTGTACAGAGCAAAACCAATTATTCCAGATTCCCTACTGAGCACAACATTTAAATTCAGCACTCCTACTGGTTTAGTAAATGAGTACTACTATTATAAAGAGAATTGCAACCACTTGGATTCTCCTGTGTTACAATTACATTGATCATAGTTGTAAATGCAAGCTTTTAGGGTGACATGGGCCCCTAAAAATTGGGAATTATAAAATAACAAATAGTCTGGCAAATAAAAATAAATGTCTAGTCTTGGAACTACTGTGTTTTTCCAGTCATTTTTGTAGCTCAAGATAAAAGCTTTTCAACATCGTAGACTTTGAGAAAATAATTGTTGAGTTTTAGGTTGAATTAAGTTGTGTGACATTTGAAAATGCCAGTGTCACTTTCTGCAAGTCAGCGAGGGTGACTTTTTGAAGTCTTCTTGTGCAATCTTTCAAATTCAGGTTCATTTCTCTAATATCCAATTAAAATTGTACACTGAAATACAGTGCAAGGAGACAGAGAAAGGTTTGATTTGGCCGGGGCAAGAGGACTTGGACTGGAGAGCAAAATCTCTGAACTCTCCCCTAAGAAGCAAAAGTAGTGAAATTTTATGTAGCTAGGGAGTGGGGAAGAGGGTATTTCATGGAACTGAGTGAGAAGTTTATGTTTCTTCCATCTCAGATAGTGACATTTTGTGCCAACAAACTTTTGGGCACAAGCAGATGGTCACAATTTTCTTAAAGGCATTCCTTCTGCACCATAAACTCATATGCTCTTTTTTTGACCTTTGAGTTGTGTCGTCCTGCTTGACAGAGAAACAGTACATCAGCAAGGTAAAATTGCAAGGCAAGAACAAGGGTCGCTTGACAGGAAGAGCAGCTAATGTGTAAGTGAACAATAACTGCTCCAACTATAGTTTTAGGTACAGAATGTGATCTGGTATTCCTCTGCCCTGGTTTACAGTAACACTATCTACAGTTGGTGTGCTTAGATGTTGAAGATTATTTTGTTAGAAATCATCACTTTCTTCTGGGCATCCTCTTAGTCTACCAGTTCCTGAAAATTGTCATGACTAAGTTTTACACTCTTCTCTGTTACCTGTCTACCTTTTACCTTCAGTTCCTTATTACCTATTTCCTAATGGTTATTAAAGTCTCTTCCCTGAATCCCATCTTTTGGTCCTGTCTTTCAATTCTCTTTATGGTTGGCTGACTCACCATCCTGAAATAGAGTTAATTTGTTCTCATTTGTAAAAATGCTTCAGAAGTTCTCTACCTGATAAAGTGCGCACAGACGCTCAAAGCGCACCTCGGTCTGTCTCTTGTCTCCTGGTTGCAACTACAACACAAATTGTTTTCTAAACTTCAGTCAAACCAAGATGGTTAGCCTAGATTACTGTATTTTCTCATGTATTATATATTCTCTGCTTTATGCTCCCATCTGCCCATCTATACTTTGTCCAAGGTCTATTAAAAAGCTAACTTTCAGAGAGTCTGTATTCTTACAGAACTGTGTACTTTTCTTCTAAGCATTGTACACCTTTTGCATGAAAACCTCAATTGTATAGAAATTGTTCTGTCTTATCCTTGCAGCTAGAGTATTAATTCCTCAAGGGCATGAGGAAGCAAGCCTTCCTGGTGTTTACATGCCCTACAATGTGGATCACAGTAACAACAATAACAAGAACTCTACCTTTTACTGGGCATTATGGGCAGAAGTTTTATATACATTTGTATGATTTATTCCCATTTTATAAATATTAGAACTAGAACTCAGAGACAGCAAATAAGATCTAAAATTGAACAGCCAGATTCTGAGTGAGCTCTGGTTGGACACAGGTCCCTATGTAGTTTCAAAGCCTGTGCTCTTCCATTGCATTGGATTTCTAGATGGAGCTTGCTTGAATGTTTCACACTAAACATTTTTTAACCTCTAAATTTCTCTTATAATCAGCCACCAGCAGCAGAGATGGCTGGTAAAAAACTAGTGTAAAGTAAAAATAACATTAGTGCTCATTGAGACAGTTGGGTGTAGATGAAGAACACAGACTGGAATTTGAAGCGTCGGAATTTTAACTCTGTATCTTGCTAGCTGTATAACTATGGGAAATTTACTAAGCTTTTTTACTGCTTGTTTTCTTTAATGGTAAACAAGAAATTATACATTTATCACATCATGTGTAGAGACTAACTGTCTGAGACAGTGTCTGAGAATAGCTACAGAAGATTGTAGCTATTACCAATACACCGTATTTTGCTGTGTATAATGCACACCCATGTTTTTGGCCTAAACTTTCAGGGAAAAAATCTTTCATTTTAATTTTTTAATTCAATCTTTTCATTTATATTTAGATACTTTTTTGTATTTTAAAGAAATTTTAGCATTTATCAGCTGTCATTATCAGCTGCTTAAAGATCATTGTTAATTCATTCACTAAACACCTCTGATCACCTAAGATAGTGAAGAACTGTACCAGATTCTGGAAATTAAAAAATAAATAAGATACAGAGCTATGTCCAAGCAACACAGAGTTTAGTGGAGAGGTGAGCATGCTGGCAGAGAGAGGTAGTGTAGGGGGGGAATGCATGTACAGTGAACTAGACACAGAGTGATAGCTCAGTGAAGGCGGAGACTCAAATGTCGAACTCCACCCGAGGGAGGTAAGGACATTTTCACCAGAGGGGTGGCATTTAACTCACACTGAAGGCAGAGGTAGCAGACACATAATCGGGCTATAAGAGAAGCCATTCCAGGCTCAGCAATGAGCTGAACACAGGACTGTAAGGAAGAAATCTGATATTTTCACACAAGAAAGGGAAATAATTGCAGCAGAAACACAACGGGAAGGAGAAATTAGTATGAAAAAGGAAGTTGGAATGAGATTTGAATGGTCTTCTATGAGCAGCCAAGACATGTAGCTCTTCCTAGTATGGATAGTCTCTTAGTTCTATTCTTTTTTTCTTTTTCTTTTACTACTTTCATGTCTCTCTTCCTTTCCTTTTCTTCCTCTTGAGATGTTTTCAGAATAAAGCATGGCCAGAATTAGTCACGGCATTTTACTTGCTTTGGCCCTTCTTGTGGAGTGGGTTTGGCGAAGCAAACATGCACTTGCCGCTTTTGCACAGCCTACATCGGTTAAACCCTCTCCAACTGTAACTGGCGATGTGTTTAGCTACAAAGCAAATCACCATAGTCTGTAACAATTGGTGAGAGTTAAACAAAAAATAAAACATACGGTGGGGCAAAAGCAGGTTAACAGTTGTGAGTACACAAAACACAGATTTTATTCTTGTATTATTATTAATTATTGTATTATTTTCCATACAACTGTAAACATACTTTCATCCCCCCTGTATGTTAAGTCAGTGAGCTGAGCAGACTCCGTCTGTGGACTCATCCTTTCCGTCCTCAGCATCTCTAGGAGGTCCCACAGCATCCCCAGTCATTCTCAGTTAATAGCATTTCTCTGGGTATTAAAATTTTAGTCTAGTCAAGTAGAATTTTAAAGTTCTCTTAAATTTAACTGCTTCCCTCCCAGCTCACTTGCCCCGAAAGCAGAGAAACCTACTGAGGACAATAGAAGTGTCATCTGCCACTTGTTTCTCCTTTCATCTCCACACCGGCTCCTGCTCCGCTGGCTCCTCCCAGATCAGGTAAGCAGACGCCGGCACGTATTACCAGTACGGTGTATTGGTAATAGCTACAATCTTCTGTAGCTATTCTCAGACACCATCTCAGACAGTTCGTCTCTACACATGATGTGATAAATGTATAATTTCTTGTTTACCATTAAAGAAAACAGCCATTAAAAAGCTTAGTAAATTTCCCATAGTTATACAGCTAGCAAGATACAGAGTTAAAATTCCGACGCTTCAAATTCCAGTCTGTGTTCTTCATCTACACCCAACTGTCTCAATGAGCACTAATGTTATTTTTACTTTACACTAGTTTTTTACCAGCCATCTCTGCTGCTGGTGGCTGATTATAAGAGAAATTTAGAGGTTAAAAAATGTTTAGTGTGAAACATTCAAGCAAGCTCCATCTAGAAATCCAATGTAATGGAAGAGCACAGGCTTTGAAACTACATAGGGACCTGTGTCTGACCAGAGCTCACTCAGAATCTGGCTGTTCAATTTTAGATCTTATTTGCTGTCTCT